GAAAGTAATCAAGAAAACACAACCAACCAACTTGTAATGGAATCTGTAGATTCTAAAGAATAGCGTTAATACTCAGCCACCACCACTCTAATCATGACGAAATCTATCTCTATAATAATGCTGGACTGCTTACTTCTTCGATGTTTTCAACTTTCATTCTGAGATTAATGGTCAAATTAATAACTAAATGAAAATAAATTAGAATTGAAATTATCTGATTGTTTTTAAAATATCTATTTTTTATTAACTCCTAAAACATATACCCTGAAGTTGGCAAAATAAGGTGTTTTCGTATGAAAACACTTTAATGGCTTTACAGTTTTGAATCGATGTCCGCTCTTCCCAAAAACAGAAGACTATTTTATGTGGTTGTCATTTTAAACAAGCCATCTGATTATTATGAGTTTAACAGTTTTCTTTAGTTTTCAGTACTTTCTCACTTAATAAACAAAATGAATTGGAGGTAAATTGAACTTAATTCTACAATTTGTGTAGACAAAATATATACTAGATTCCTTAGACTGTTATTCACATGACCATTTAATATGAGATACGATTAATATTCCATATTATTGAAGAGTTTCAAACACGAACTAAAACAATGTTCAATTCTCAATTTAGAATCAATTAGCTAAAGTTAGCGATGAATAGCGTGACAACGTTTTAATTGTCATAAATATAGTTAAAGTCAAGTAGGAATTTTCGTATTACATATTGAATTTCATTGTGAAAAAAATACGAACAGAAATCCAACTTTCGAACAAAAAAATAACGTTTCTTCTTGAATGCAAATTTATTAAAAAGTTTTTATATTTTAAATCTGTTGGGAAACGTCTCTGCGATAATGCATCAAGTTTGTTTAATTTTTATTTTATTTAAATTGTTGTTATGGGATTGTTTAATATTCAAAATAATCCAACGTCAGCTTTAAGTTATCAATTTTTGAACAGCCAATGAACTGAGTAGGAAAGTCAGAATTAATTTATTTTCGGTCAAGATTAATGCAAATCTAATTATGAAATATAAGGCATTCAAAAATAATGTTTATTCCACAATCCTCCTATTGAAAAACAAAATGTTTTATAGTTTTAGAAATAACTTGACTAGTCATTTAACTTTTTTAAGAAAAAATCAATATATAAAAAACGTTTTGCAGTTTTTATCAGAACACAAAACGATCTTTATAATGAAACTCTTTAAGAGTTACATGTAGTTTTTATTCCGCATAAATTAATCTGGAACTTAATGACAAAATTACGTCAATCGAGTGCACAGATTTAAAGGTTTATTTAATGTCCGAAAATAAAAATAAGAACTCCAATGGTGTTTTTAGTTACAAATTATTACAGATAATTCAACAGTGAAATCTATTAATTCTAGTAACCAAGAGAAAATAAGCACAAATTAGGACAGTAACTGAAGGTTAAACTAAATCAGTCTCTACTAATAGAGTTTAAGAAGAAGCAAATTCATTAACGGCCTTCTTGTTTTATTCAGCTCATATGAACTTTTCGCCATACGTTCTTACGTATTTAAATGATGATGTACTAAAGGTGACAAACATATCATCACTGAAATCCATTCTTGAGGAGTTCCATTATGTACAAACAACCAAAATATTTAGAAATTGAGCTTCATTTATTCTCACACGTAACAATAACAATTCGGCCTTAAAACTTGCATCTTAAGGTTGTTACATTTAATTTTTGAAACATTAAATTAGCTCAAATAAAGAACTATATAATGAGTATGAATCTATTCCCTATTAATTATACGAGATATCATTCGTTGGTATCAAAAACTAAAAGTTTATTTTACTGAAGGAAAGAATGTTTTATATGCCAGTGATGTTACTGCAATAATGATAACGAAATTAACCTTTTAATTAAGCAATGATGTGAATATAGTGACTCTTCTTGATACTATTGATAAGTTGTTTCATTATCATACAACGATAAATAAAGTTCTATGAACAACTAATACCCTGTTTTCCTTGAAAATAATTTAACCATTTCAGTTGAAGAAACAGCCTCTTTAAATCGAATACTTCACTTGGTTTGTAAAATTTCTGGATAAGACTTTACTAGAAAATATGAAATTTAGAAATATATGTAACTCATGTATTTCATTTCGTCAACAACTAATTGCTACAGTCATCATTAAAATGAAATCATATCACCATCAAATGTCCATGGTTATATAGGGACGTTAGGAATAAGATACATAGTACTAGACCACAAACAACTATACTACTGAGCCAAAATCAAAATTTCTGAAATGGTATGAATAGTGACTGTATGGCTAACTAAAAAATAACTATGATAGTCCTCGTATACTTTATTCGAATTCGTGAAAACATAATCTAATAGAGCACTAGACTACTTGACATAATGATAATAAATATTGTAACAAATAATTTTTAATATACGGGAAAGATAAATTGAACATATTCATCATATTATCCATCGTTCAGTGAATCTACACCACTCAAATAGAGTTGAATTTTAATAGTACTGGAGACATAATTATATTACTAGTTATTCAAGTAATCAATTAGATTGGGCCTTTGTATTCATTTCCTGCATAGTTGGGTTTATTTTGAAATACTAATAATCAAATAAATAGAAACACAAACGAACCCATGTGACGTTTGAGAAATAAAACCAATGAAAATACAAAGTTTGATGACTACTCAATGCACAACACTTTTCTTCCTGATTGAGTATTGAAAAAGGATAAATGTGGGAGAATTATAAAATATATCAATTAAATATTGACATTTATGTAGACTGTCTTACTTGAAAGTCATATGACAAAATATTATAAGGTTTCTAGTAAACCTATATACTAGTTTGGTTATTACAATAGGATTAAATTTAGACATTGTCTCGGGCAAAATTAAGCAAAATTAAACACACTTTTAAATGAACAAATCCTCTTTCTCACTCCAAATATCGAACAAATTTATGTTCCACTAAAATCCCCTATCGATTAAATCTGCTTTTAGTTCTTGAAATTAATTTTTATCTGCGTCAGTCCATACTATATATATCTTCCGATTTTATTTACGTTCAGAGCACCTGAACACAGTATACTAAGTGCATAATTCAAGGTATTCGATTGGTTGGATTGATCTTGTTAATGAACAGTTTGGAGATACGTGTATTTTTCAGTTACTGACCCTCAGAAATCTATTGAAGATCAGAACCTAAAAGTGATGGAGAAACAGATAGAGATTTACCAAAAAGATATAAAGGCCTTATCCTTCCATTGTTGCAAAAGCAGTTATGAAATCTAACAATAGAGTGATTCTTCCTCACCTGGTTGTTAGCGAACATTATATTAAAATAGATGGAGCCTTATAGGTTTTGTATCGAGTTACGAACGATTCACCTCAAAAAGAAAGATTACGACTCCTCTACACAGTGTACTTCATTGAGAATAAATCCAGAATATCCAACTTATAAATTTAGGTATATTTAATTTCTATTTACTATGGGCCATGATCAGATCAACCCATACAAACGTTATATATTATGAACTCTTATTCCTCACTCCCCCTATTATGTTTATCTCTCTTCTGCCCCATTCTCGTCCATTTTACGTGAATTTCTTATCATTATTATCATAATTTTCCTGACATTTCTTTTATTACAAATTATGTTCACTCAACTTCATTACTATTAGTATTGTTATTGCTATTATCTCTATTAACCTGTCATGGACTTTATACACATGATTTATTTTATTACTCTAGTTCTAACTCAGCATCTTAGAACAAATATTTCTGCCCCATTCTTAATTGAACATCTAAATTTAATAATGACACATTTTTGGCGTAATGTAACCGTAACCGATACAAAAGTTTACTATTTGAACAACAACCGTGTTTAATTTATCTATCTATCTATGCATTACTTTGGCCACTGTCATAAAATGATCATGGGTATCTAACTATTAAGCCGGGTGATGATGTTAATCAAAATAAGTGTGCGCTTAAATGTGTCTTGTTCTCAAATACTCTAGAGAGATTTTTAAACCATTAAAATATAAAGTAATCCAAAACAGAAAATCCATTTTTGCAAAATTGGTATATTTTAGAAATGAAGTAAGTCACTTAATCCATGTATTTGTTTGATTATTGTTGAACCAAACAAGTTATTACCATTTAAAAGTTCGGAATTCACTGTTGAATGCGTTGGTAAACATTTAGTTATTTTGAAATTTCCTGTATTTGCCCAAAACGTTTTTTTCAGTTATATACAAACCAGTTTCTGTTCAGTGTTTCAAACTAGCAGTCAGCGCTTCCAGTTTGCGAAGTGAAATCCCTCTGGTTTAAATAACAAATAATTCTAATATTCACCGTGTTTCCTCTATTTCGTATGATACTTTAAAGCCTAAATCACTTCAAAATTATTATAGTACTTTTATGATCGCCCAAACAAAATTATTACAACTTCTAATTTCAATCTATTCTAAAGTCCCTTACCTGTTTTATTTTGATGACAAATTGTTACTTACGTATAACAATTCACATACTGAGTATAGTTCATGTCAATCGAATACAAGAATATCGTATATTATTACATAATAAAATATCATAAGAGAAAAAGAAAAAACAATTACTACATTGAGTAATCATTATATTGAATGAAAACGAAAGTAATCTTGAACAAAACTCATAATAAGTAAATCAATCGAAAATTGACTTTTCTTTCCATCATGTCAGTAAAGCCACGTGTTATTATGGTGAAATATTTGTCTAACTGTCATTTAACTTAAGTCCATCTCTCGGTTCACAATTATCTCATTAAAGAGAAAATAACGACTGCCAAACAATTAACTATTAGTTTCAGAAAGCTTTATAAACTTACTGTCAACAATCTATTTACTTACCATCCCTGTTTTGAATCCAATAGTGGTAAAATTATTATCATATATCTCTTTGAATATATAAGATTTAAAATAACACTTTATAAATTTTCAACTTTTATTTTCAGTATCATCATAGAGTCAACAGGTTGTTGTAAAATGAATTGTGTTCTTCGGTCTTCCTCTTTTCCATTTCTCTTCGGGATTCCAAGTTAGCGATTACCTAGTAATACAGTCTGGTGATTTCCATAATGTACATCCTATCCACTTCCAACATCTCGTAAATTCCTCCACAGCCTGAAGCTGGTTTGTTCTCTTGCACAGAAGCTTGTGGCCGATGGTATCCGGTCAACGGACATTCAGTATCATGCGTAAAAAATTGTTTACAAATGCTTGTACATCTTGATGATGATTGTAGTTGCTGTCCAGCTTCCAGCTCCGTACAGTAGGACTGTCTTGACGTTCGTATTAAAGATTATCACTTTGATATTGGTTGACAGTTGTTTTGGCAGAGGCTGGTGCTACACTAGTTGTCTTCACCTACATTTATTCGTGTGTATGGGATAGAAGAGCTAGATCATCTGCGAAGTCCAAATCATCTAGTTTCATTAGAGCTGTCCATATTATTCTGCGCATTCCCTCAGATATCAAGGTCTTTATAATCCAGCCAACCACTAGAACAAAAAGAAAGGTGAAGACTGAGCAGCCTTGTCTGACTCCGATCCTCACTTCGAATGCGTCCATCAGCTGTCCTCCACGCACCACTTTGCGCTGTAGTCCATTGTATGAACTCCAGAGACTTTTGACGATCTTCTAAGGGACACCATAATGTCGAAGAAGGTTTCAACAGGTTCTCCGATCCACGATGTCAAACGCCTTCTCATCGTCATGAAAGTTGATGTATAATGACGAGTTCCACTCAACTGATTGTTCAATGATGATCCATAGTGTGGTCATCTGGTATGTGCACGACCGATCCTTACGGAATCCATCTTGTTGATCTCGAAGTTGGGCATTCACTGAGTCCTTCATTCGGTTGAACAACATTCTGTTAAAAGCTTATTCTGGTACCGATAGTAGTGTGATGCCTATGTAGTTAGTTCTCACATTTGCTTAGATCTCCTTTCTTTAGTGTCTCGATGAGGTATCCTTCTTTCCAGTCTGCCGGTATGTGTTCTCTCAAATATTCCTGAATAGAACGCGGAGCATGTTTGCAGTCGCTTCTATGTCTGATCACAGTGCTTCAGCTGTTATGTTGTCTGGTCCACCTGCTTTCCCAAGTTCGATCTGTCTGATCGTCTTGATTTCTCCGATCGTCGGTGGAGTGGCATTTATATGAAAATCTGTAGGTACTGCTTTGGTGTCTGGTGGATTCAGTCTGGTTGATTTATTCAAGAGTTCTTCAAAGTGCTATACCCATCTGCTCTTTTGTTCTTGAATCTCAATGGTCGGAATCCCTTTGTCCTTGACTAGTCTCTCTGGTTAACTATATTTTCCTGCTAGTTTCTTCGTTGCACCACATAGCTATCCCATGTTTCCCCCTCTTGCAGCTTTTTCCACTGTCGCTGCTAGGTCTTTCACTTATTTCCGCTTGTCGACCCTAATGCTCCTCTTCACTTCCTTATTTGCTTCTGTGTATTCAGTTCGTGCCTTGACTTTCTCTGTTCTTGTTCGGCTGTTGTTAATTGCTGTCTTCTTCTTCCTCCTTTTTTGAATCTTGCTCAAGGTTTCGGTAGAAATCCATTCCTTATGATGATGCTTCTTGCGGCTCAGAACCTCCCAACACGTTGAAGTTAGTGCTTCTTTGATCTTTTTCCAGTTGTCGTCCATACCAGTTTCTCCTTTCAGTAGATCTTGTAAGGCTTGGAAGCTGTTGTTGAGAGTTATCTTGAATCCGTTGAGATTGTCAGTATGTCGAAGGAAGGCTGTATTGAACCTTTGTAATGCTGTTTCTCCAGTCGTTCATTGCTTCTTTAGCTTCAGTCCCATCTTGGCAACTACCAGGTGGTGATCTGGAGTTATCTCAGTTGCTCTCCTGGTTCTCACATCTTCCACTAACCTTATGAATTTTTTAGTGATGGAAATATGATCGATCTGATTCTCTGTAGTATGATCCAGTGAGACTCATGTGGGTTTTTGTATGCGTTTGTGACCGGTGATTGTGTCGCTTATAACCATTTTGTTGAGTGCACACAAATTTGCAAATCTTTCACCATCCCCATTACGTTCTTCCAGTCCATGCCGTCCCATGATATCTTCATATCCGATGTTGTTCATTCCAAATTTGATACTTAGGTCTCCCATTAGAATGCTTCTGAGCACTTCTCTATGGATCGGTTGCATTCTCTTGTAAAACTGACCTTTATTTCGTCGTTGCTACCATTGGTTAGTGCATAAGATTTGATTAACATTCATTGTGATTCCCTCATTCTTTGTTTTGAAAGATCCCTTGATGATCCAGTATCCGTGAGATTCCCATCCTATAAGTGTTCCACGTGCTTCCTTAGACAGCATCAAAGCAACTCCCTGAGTATATGGAGCATTTTCTTCTTCGTGACCACAGTACAGCAGCATCTTTCCCAAATCTATACTTTTCTGTCCAGCTTGGGTCCAATAGGTCTCACTGATTCCGAGAACCATTAATATGCGTCTCCTCATTTCCGTAACTATTTGATTAGTCCTGCCGGTCTCCCACATTGTCCGGACATTCCATGTACCTATATTCACTGTTGCTCTGTTTATTAGAAATGGTATCTGTCTCGTGACTTTCGAAGAATATCGACTTTCACTATGAAGCGTTATAATTCTTCTCTCAACTCCCGGGGTGGAGTTTAAATGGTTTAGTTTGTTTATTCTGGTTAGCTTTTTTAGCAAGTTTGTTTTCTACGGGATGGGGTTGATGACCCCATGCCGAACCCTCCTCCTTTCCCCGGGCTTGGGACTGGCAGTAACCCTAGAAGAGCTACAGGCGGAATTCTAACTTGCATAATGTAGCCCGAAAGTAACTCATGAACTGTTAAAACAGTTTGGAATTGCCAGCACCTCAAAGGTAGTTCAGATGAACACTATATTAAGCATACCTACATAAAATCTTATTTCTAATGTACAGTTCTTATAAATAATTGAAATTTCATCTATCCCTGCTTCTAAAGACACTGTAACAAACCTAGAATCTTGTCCCATTTCGGTCTACTCGAAACAGAGCTAATACTTTGGCTGTTCAGCCGGTGAAATTAAGTATCTAATACTTACTGATCAGTTAAGCAAAATATGATGTAAATAAAGTAATAAGTTATCAGCATTTAGGCATTATTAATCAGATTCTTCAGTTTTACAACGATACTCAGATTGTTGCTGATTTAAATTTAATCCTTACAACAACTTAAATCTTTACTGCTATGTCTATCAATGAGATTAATATTTAAGAATCAGTTCTTTTTGCCAAAATTTCTCTAATTTTAAATTTGTTTATTAGAAACAATGTTTTGTTAAATTTTTGTAAATAGTTTTAATGTTCAGTGAATTAGTCTTTCTCAATCATACAACCAAAAGCTTTTTAAAAGAAATTGATCATACCACGTCAAGCAGAAAAGGAGATAAGGGAAATTTACATAAAAACTGAATTAAACCTTTGTTTAGAACATTTTGTTTTCTTTGTTCACAAGTAACACCATTTAGTGTAGAACTAATTTAAAAATAAAAGTAATAAGTTTATTTATGTGTAGAAAATAACAGCATGAAAAAATTCAGCGTTTAAGTCATCATGATTTTAAATGATGAAACCACTGTACGCTAACTGACATAGTAAAATAAATTTTGTCGACGATAACAAATGTATATGTATCTAATACTAAACTTATTAACTATAGTCCCTTTACTCATCGTAAAACTAATTTTGGACAGATATTGTTAGCTATTTCAGAAAACAAGATTGAAAGTTTATTATGAACACATTAATGAAGTACCGTGTTAATAGAAAACTTACTAATCATGTTAATCAACTAAAAACAGCTGAAATGATTTCCCTTCAGGTTTTTTCTTTATGAAAACTGATCACATGGAATTGCACATTTATTGATGCATTGTTCGGTATTGAAATAGAACTATAAATTATATCACGATTTTCCGGGAATCAAAGAAAGTTATCCTATACTGCAACACACAAGATCTATTCTCTTGTTCGAAGTGCTTAATTAGATAAAGCATTACCTCTAAGTGTGAATAAGGTCATTTGATTGTTTAATGATAAACGTGAGATTTTAACTAACCAGAATACTAAGCTGAACAAGAAAAAACTCCGAATTTCGCAGACGCATTAGTTGATTATTTCACAAAAAGTGTACAGACAGAGTATTGAAATGATGGATATTTTTAGCTCAAGAGGACGATTTTCAGGGTATTTCGTTCTCTAAGTTGCATGATTTATTCGCGAGGCTATCATTTTCTTTCGAGATAACATCAACATATTTGATTTTGACCCACTAATTACGTAAAAATTAAAAGATAGTGACCATCTAAACTCATGAACGAAACACAAGAGTAATTATGAATAAAAGACGAGATAATTATATAGCTGTTGAATATTTCTCCACGTGAAAATATTAAGTCAAGAAAGTATCAAACAGTGAATAGTAAAGTGAAATCAGGGATAAACCTACTTTTAAGAGTGAAATCATTCAACCGAATCTGTGTAGTTTACACTACAATCATGGCTCCAAAAAAAATACATAAACCTGAAATCACACTAAGATCCAGAGTAGATTTTATAAACACAACTACATATTCATGATTCGAATACCTTGGTTGTATTTTTTAGGCATTTTTAGAAACACATGAGCACATTATTTAAAAATTCTTATGGTTTCAAATCTACAGTATCTAAAGTAACTACTACCAATTGCCTCCTACCACACAGCCCATGATGTTCTATCAATATACACACGTATTTTCGGTAAATACAGTATCTATGTCTTGTCAAGTAGATGTCCATCAACTATCACTTTAACCGGAAATTTCTGTGCCTAAATTCAACAATTTACAGACTCAGAAGGGAACTATGGTAGCAGACAGGCGAAGTATCGATGAGATATTTCATGTTCTCTATCGCCCCAAATTTATTCACCTGACATAAAACCTCTCACTCTCGTCAGTGCTATTGGAGCGCATGTTTGACTTAGATGTTTAAATAATACATTTGTAAGCTCAAACTTTTTCCTAAAAACATTGCAGAACCTTCTCGCGACAAAACATATCCTCTAATAATAACTTTATATACTAGCTGTTGATATTATGAGTTTTCAACTAAGTCATGCTTCCCCTATGTTTAGCACAACAAGTTGATTGTCACTACCTCAATGATTTTTATTTGGTGGTCTGTAATGTTAATGACCTTAGACAAAGTGTACTCAATGACCACGAGTACACTTGAAACTAAAGGATAATTTTTGTGAAAAGCATTGTTTGATGACTAAAGTACTAGGCTTTTAACGACTAGGCAACATTTTGGAACCTAATTTACCTACTTCAGTTTTGTCTGTCACAAGGTATCACCAGTACTCATACAAACAACGTGGTTCAAGACCGAGTGTATAAACCTGTACCTGCAAAATAAGTTACATAAACGATACATGAAACTGAAATAAAGCATATGAAATCCTAAATGTATCACACTAGATTTTTCTTCCTTTCTGCATATATCCCTAACATGCTAATAATGGTGTCATACAGTGCTTCCCTATTAAAATAATTTATAGACGTTAACGTGATCAGATCCGAATTTTGATATATTCAGTACCAGGGATGGTAGGCTGTTTAGTCTGAAATAATTTAGTTATTTATTTTACTCTTCAAGTAAAAGACTTAAGAAAAATATCACAGAACCACCACTGGCTTTGATTCTAAACTATTATACATCACTTGCAACCACTCGACGACAATTTCTTGGACCCTAATAAGTCACAATGCACTGACAGGAACCAACCCAACCTGCTTCTTCTACGCCTCCGAACTGTCAATTTACCTAGTGTTTGTTGTAGTCGACCTGAATGTCAGCAGAGATATATGATAATTGCCGATATAAAGTTGAATGGTGTCTAATTCACTAATGTCAGTTATTTAGTATGATATCAACACACTCAAGCACCCATTTGCTCTCCCTAATTACTTACATGATGATGACACTTAAACACCAGTATTAAATGAACAGAAGAAACTAGACACATCCAACAAATATTCTTGGCTCAGAATCCATCCTTCAAATGTTCCCAACCACAACTGGTTGGATCCTGGCTGAGGTTGCGAAAACACTATAGTTGGTCCACCTTTGCGTATAAGGCTTTCCAAACAGATTGACGGTGTGGTACCCAAATACCTAAACATATGAATCTGACCACTCTCAAAAGATATACCACCAAATGTAAGAGCATCAACACGCTCCTACCAGTTTTGTAAAACATTTTACATTTCAGTAAAAGCTAAAAGGTAATTGACAAAGTGCAAATACTGATAAGCAGCACATCAAAAGTCCAAACTGTATCCCATTCGGGATCACTGAATGACGGAAGTGAATAGCAACTTTAGATAACGTTTGGTCTATGGATATCAAGTTTAAACAAAGATCAAGAGCTCTGTTTTACTGTTCTTAAATAAAGTTTATCAATAATTAGTTCTGTGTGATTACTTATCATAACAGAAAAGTCACTCACTTCTGCATGATATCGATGAAATAAGTCTAACAGGCATAGTTATACTATTTGATCAGTTTGTCTTTGGCGTCAAAGAATGATAAATGTAATATTTCAAGGAGAGAAAACAAGTAGGAGAATATCCGCCCAAAAGACAACCATGACCTTACTTCACACAAATCTTATTTCCAAAAGCGCTCTTTTGAAGCTTTCTCCCCAAAAAGTAAATAAAATTGGGAGGTATTCAATGAATAAGAATCAGGAAACTTATTTGAAGTAAACGACTTCAGTCAAGAACAAACCTCAATGTAGTTGAAAAAAATTATTTTATTCATTAAACTTCAAGCTAAAGTTAGTAAACGCATAAGTGTTCCCGTACTACACCAACTTTCGCTTTTTCGGTAGTGGTTTAGAAACTTGATGTCCATGGTTAGTAGCCAAAGAAAACGGGACTGAATTACTGGAGGCACTCTCATTTTTGTTTTTTTTTCTTTTGCTTTTATTTGCTTCAAGGTTTGAATTCTTAACAGGACCACTCGGTGATTCAGTTAGAGATTTATTCCCCCGACTTTGTTGCTGATTTAAATGGGAACTACTTTTTCTGCTTTTCAGCTTCGGCTTTTCGTTTGACAGAACCTTTGGATCAGTAATTGTTGAAACGATTGGTGCACGAACTAACTAAGACATGAAAAAATGAGGTACACAAGGTAAAGTGTACGAAACGTCGACTATAACAGATGAAACATTTAGATTGGGTCAATTAAAAGTCACAGAGCTAATTACGAGCACAAAGTGTAAAAGCAATACACACTTATACGAGCTGAAATGGCTTATCTATAAGTTCGTACATAAAATAATACGAAATTCATAACATACGTGATCCATACTTAACTCAAAAACACCACGACCGTTACTTCTTTGATTCCCTTTTATCTGAATACTTACAATTGAACATATTAATCACAAAGACATTTCGAGTTGAAAAAATGTCATCAAGGTTGTAGTGAACTTTTTACAACTTTGAAAATTATCTAGTACGTTATGAAGCTACTACTATAATTCTACAAAGTAAAATCACTACTTTTGTCAGACTACTGATCGACCTAAAAAGGAAACTTCTACACTACACGCTACCTATCATAAACTACTACATACAGCTTTAAAATGTTAGCAATTTGAGTAATTCGAACTTTATGGCTGTGGTGGTAGTACTTTAGTAGTATGTCGAACAACTAGATATATAAAACTCAACGTCATTCACTCACTGGTCTGACTTAAAACTTTTCGGCATTTGCATGTAATGATGTCTTGATTAATCACCAAGTAGAAAATAAAACTAACCACCAATAGAAGAATTATTGTGAAAAATGTTTACTTACAAGTGAAGATTTACGACTCCTTAGGTCAAAGTTTAAGTTAATTGGCGTATCATGGAGGACAACTCCATGTCGTGTATTGAATGCTTCAAGGGCGTCTTTTTGATTGGTAAATATAACACGACAATGCCTTTCGAAAAAAAATGACAAAAACGAGCTATTATGAAACTGCTGTTGTAGATGTATAAATAATAGTCGACTGACTTCAAATGAAAAACTGCATCACTAATGGGATGAATGGATCGCTAATCACAATATAAGGAAGCGAATGTATGTCTGGCTACTGAGTTCGACTTACCTTCATCTTATCTTGCAAGTCATATTGTGACAAAGCTCGGTTATAGAAACAATAAAATAAAAATTCCACACTTCACTTTAGATCGTTTTCAAGTTAACTAAAGATATATCGGACATTTGAAACATTTCAAAAAAATGAGTAAGCAATTTCTCTTTGGATAAAAGTAGACTCAATCAATCTTCAGCTTTTAAACCTTAGTTCTAAAGTAAAACTAGGTCATAATTAGAATTTTTGGGACCAGTCAGAGAGAACGTTTGATTTAACATTGAATGGTTTTGTTTAGTATACTGTGTAGAAGTGTAGAAGTAAAACAGTTTCCCGTTTTCATCAAATTACGGATTATGAGTGAGTATTGTTTTTCCCCATATTGGTATTTTCATAACTTTAATGTAAGGTGATTTCTTAGAATTATAGCAATTCTAAACCTGTAAACCAGAATTTGAAATTTTTCCAAGTAAGGTTCGAAACAACAAGTCACAACCGAAGTATGTTGCTTGCTTTGGAGCATAGAGTATGCACATCTACAAAAACTAGAAAGCGTTAATTCGGTATAAACAAGAGCTGCTAAATTTATTTAAACGGCTACTAATTTTTGTCATTAGATGAACACTGTAATGCTATGAATAACACCAAATGAATATTTTATGTACTAAACAATAACACTTTCAAATAATGGTTACTAACCACAAAGCACCTTCATGTACAATGAAGTCAAAAGACTCAGCGTTAGGAAATAGGTCCCGAATTTCCTGTTCAGTTGATCGACGATTGATACCTGCTACATACAGTTTATTCAAATTAAATTCATTCAATTCATATGACTGTGGTGGCCTCCAACTATTAGACAGAGATTTACAGCGCTCAGAACATAACTCAACAGTAATAGGAATATCTCCAAAGAATTTGTCACCCAATGACTTAAGACTAGACAATGCTGCTTCAGGTGAATTATACTCCATAAGCGCTAATCTACCAAATCAAGAAGTCAATGGTTAGATTACAGTATTGGCTAAAAGAATTTACACAACTTTGTACGACATTAATTCATTAGATTTAGCCTCCAGGATAAAAATCTTTGAGGATTGTTGGTGACTTTACAGAAAGATTAATCGAAAACTATTGCATAAGGACTGAAATACAGCTGGCGATCCATCAATAAAGCCTATTTACACTCTTAAAACCAAAACCATACGTATCAGAGAATGACCAATTACCATAAAGACTGACCCACTAAAAAAGTAAAAAGTGTGGTTGACGGTGACTAATTGATGGGTGAAATATCTCCTGGCATCAGAGAGAACTAGCAGAACTACACTAAAACTTTAAGTAAGCTCTAATTAACTTCTTAAAACCGACAGCAAACAGTTAATATGCGATTGTCGATTTGAAGATGCAATAAAAAGTTAGCATATCAGTATGCCATCACAAATGTACAACTTAGATGGCTAAGACTAGTCGAAATAAAGTGTGCACCCATTTAGAGTTTTATTCCGGAACAAATCTATTCTAAACGCATGCATGTCAGAACATTACCCAGTAGACTCTTAAGAGGAAGTTGCAAAACAATCAACAACTGAATACAAGAACATCTAATCAAATCAGGGCACTTCCTAACAATGTTGCAGGTGGATTCATCTTTACTTTTTTAGAATCTGGATCCCGAAATCGCCTGTGCCGTTTTTTTCTTTTCTTATATCTAATTTTTTCCACTACTACTGATGGTGTTACTGCTCCTACTAGTCTGGTATTGGTCAAAACAACTTTACCTCACTGTGCTAACGTGGTGTAGCAACTTCGAGCAATGCACTTGCTTATCAGTCTCTACGTTGCCCATGATTGACTGGAATTGACCCACCAGAATTGTATGTCAAAATAATCTGCAAAGTCAGATAAGTGAGATCAAAAGAAGCATGAGGAAAAAACGTGCACACTACAAACAAGCAGTTTAAGCCCGAACTATGAGTGCTAAAGCATCACGTGAAATATCTTATTCTTATGTGCCGTTAGCACTCTTCGGTGTTTTCTTTGTTTTTAGTAAGTGATCAGTCGTTATCATTCTTTTCTAGATTTTCGGAATTATTGTCCATTTGTTATTATTCCTGTAAAACGGTCAACTCAACTCTCGTATTGCTGGTCTATAAACTATTTCCACCTCACGATTTTTCTTTAACCTCTACACCATTACACAACCTCCTTGTGATGTATGAAATCCCCAGGTAATTTGTGGTGGAATCCTTTTCTTATCTTTCAAAAGACTAATATATCTGTTAAGTCACTAAAAATACGATTATACAGCTTCAGTTAATACCGTCGAAAAATTTTCTTTGCTGAATCATTGCGAATTCTTTTCCAATGACACCGGGTTAATTCGGTTAATTAATGAAACTACCACGAGATAAAGTATGTGAAAAAAAATCAAAAGAAACATAACGATATAGAAATGTAGTATAATATGCGATACTCTAAAGAGAAGAATTACCTATGTTTTAAGTGACGAGACGGATTTAGCAACCGACCATTTGCTGAACTACGACACAATGCTTTCAGCTGAGAAAGACTTGTATTTCGTGGTAATTTACGTAAATATAATGTGCGTGAATTCATTTCATCTATCGAAGCAAAACAGGATGAATGAAGTTTTCAACCAAACAGACAGAAACCAAAAACTACCTATCAAAGATAAGAACTTCATAGATTCTAGATATCCTTTCAGATAACTAAAATCAATTATGAATAACCAACCAAGGAGTAAACTAAAGGCACAATAAAGAGTAAGAAGTGTAAGATCATACTTAGGGTACAACCATCTATATCTCGTTTGACGACCTACTCGTTTAGTTAAAGTGGCTGTAATGAGTGGCTGGACTGATAAATTGAATAGATTACATAAAACAAAATCCCTACCCATTTACTTATTTATCAATGAGAGATTCAATCAAATAAGTTCAAGTTACTTTTCAGTTAGTCAAGAGTAATGAGGATCAAAATCACAGACTAACTAGTGGACTTTCGCTTTTGTAATCGTAACATATAATACATACAGAAAACAAAAATATACAATTATAGACCAATAGTATGGATAAATGTGAAAAATCAAAGTATAATAAAAGTAACCAGCAGAATAGAAATAATCGTGAACCAAACTATTATGTATTATGTACTTTCGAGATCCGATTTCAAGTCATATTTTTTATACAACTGTACGTATTATTAATGGAATTTTGTATACAGTCGGAACAGCACAAGTCTTCTTTCGAAACTGTACTCATAAACAGTCAACTTAAACTAAATAAGTCAGCGATCACAAACAGACATTGATGTGAATGACAGTCACTTGATGAACAGCCATTGATGAAATCTATATTTTCTAAGTAGAACTCCAAATGTTCAGAAATCACTACATGCGTCCCAGAGTTGCTGATTGGTAATTTGAACACTCAGCTTTTAACCAAGGTTGGAACCATGTTCAAAGTGATATTTCTAGAATTAGTAAAAGTAGCTTAAAGTAATAAACGAACCCAATGGAAATAAACAACTTTCACGAACATTAATTTCAACCTATTATCGATCGACATATAAGCACTTAACTGAAACTAAGAAAACGGTGACCTTGGTCTTTCACCTGTCACCAGTAGATACATAAGACCAATGAATACGGAAACTTTACTAGATTGAAAGTTTTCCTTGTCAGTGGAATGCGGAATACTGCACCTTAGAAGTCACATTTCTAGAGATGATTAATGTCATTCATTTTTACCCATTGTGTAGAAAATGAAGCCTAAATAAGCAATCCACTACGCGATCTTACAAGTTAACACCATAATAGTAGTGAAACCATAGAGGGTTAGATCAACTTATTTTCTAAACCATTTTGTTCTCGAAGCGGTCAAAGGTGCCAAAACCAAATGTTTATTCAGAAAATTTAGATATACTAAAAAATATCAACAAAGCCTGTAGTAATACCTCTAAACCCAATTACTATCCTCGTAGAGGAATGAGCGGGTCGTCTATCATCGTACATGCTATTTTACTGTTCGAAAAGACATTCGCTTTTTGTTTTCATATCTTTGAGCTTGATTATGAGGTGAAATATATTTAAATATATACTAAATAAAAGGAATGAGACATGAAAAAAACAACTATTTCATTAGGAGATAATTCTAGAATAACTTACTTATTCGGCTCCTGATTTCAGTAAGAAGTATTTCTTTATTTTGTTCCATTGTGGAGATTGCTAAAAGGTTGGCGTCAACCTGTTGGAAAACGAAAACCCTATGTGTACAATGTCTGAACATATTTTTACCCATGTTAGTTTAATCACCATATGAAAAGAAACCCAAACGACTCAACTGGTGAAATCCTAATTAAATGTATAGTAACAGTGCGAACAGTTTGATAATTTTTTGATACAGAATAAATAAGAAATACTACTCTTACACATGAATCCCAAGAAAGATAAACAGCACCATCAGTCGTTTGATCAAAATACAAATTCAGACCTACAACCCTATGATTTTTCTTGAATTGTATTTTATGTAACATGAAACTATTTTCTGAACAGATTACTTCAAGGTAACTAACTATCTCACTAAACAAATTTAAAATAACCACTCAGAAGACTTTTCGTAAGAACTAGTTGACTGTCAATGAGAGAAAACCATCAACGACTGGATTATATATATTCTTCTAGTTCTAGAATTAGGTAGTTACTAGATATGCAGCCAACTCCGCCTGTAGCTCTTCTAGAGTTACTATCGGTCTCAAGCCCGGGTAAAGGAGGAGGGTTAGGGATGGGGTTAGCGACCCCACACCGTAGAAAACTAACTCGCTAAAAGAATGCTAACCAGAAAAAATAATTCAAACCATTTGAACTCTGCCCTGGGAGCTAGGTTTTCATTTAGAAGAACTATGACGCCTCATGGTGAAAGCCGAGTTCCTTCGGAAGCCACAAGGCCGATGCCCCTTCTAACAACCATAGCAACAACTTTTACAGATACATGGAACGTTCAAACAATGTGGGAGACCGGGAAGACCAGTCAAATAGCAACGGGAATGAGGAAATACAACTTGGCAGTACTGGAAATCAGCGAAACCTATTGGACCCAAGCTGGACAACAAAGGTTAAATACGAGAGAGATGCTGCTATACTCCGGTCACGAAGAGGAAAATGCTCCACACACTCAGGGAGTTGCTCTGATGCTGTCCAAAGTAGCACGAAATGCACTTGTAGGATGGGAATCTCACGGATCCAGAGTCATCAAAGCATCATTCAAAACAAAGAATGAAGGGATCACAATGAATATTATCCAATGTTATGCACCCACCAATGATAGCAACGACGACAATAAAGATCAATTCTATGAGAGGCTGCAATCAATCACAGAGAAGTGCCCAAGAAAGGACCTCACCATTCTGATAGATCTAAACGCTTAAGTCGGAATAGACAACACCGGATATGAAGATATCATGGGACGACATGGACTGAGAGAGAGAAACGAAAATGGGGAAAGATTTGCAAATCTGTGTGCATTCAACAAATTGGTCATAGGCGGCACAATATTTCCACACAAATATATACACAAAGCTACATGGATCTCACCGGACTGCACCACAGAGAACCAGATAAACCATATTTGCATCAATAAAAAGTTCCGAAGGACAATGGAAGATGTGAGAACCAGGAGAAGAGCTGACATAGCTTCATATCACCACCTAGTTGTAGCCAATTTAAAACTGAGGCTGAAGAACTGGACAACTGGACAAACAGCACTACAAAGGTTCAATACAGCCTTCTTTCGAGATACTAAAAAATTCAACGACTTCATGATAGCTCTCAACAACAGGTTCCCAGCCTTACAAGGTCTACTGAAGGAAAAAGAAACGACTGTGGACGACAACTGGAAAGGTATCAAAGGAGCATTAACTTCAACGTGTCAAGAGGTTGTGGGCGTAAATAAGCATTATCATAAGGAATGGATCTCTATAGAAACACTGGACAGGATCAAAGAAAGGGAGAACAAGAAGACAGAAATTAACAATAGCCGAACAAGAACAGAGGAAATCAAAGCACAAGCTGAATACATTGAAGCCAACAAGCAAGTGAACAAGAGCATTAATGCTGACAAACAGAAATACGTGGAAGAACTCGCGACGACGGCGGAGAAAGCTGCAAGAGAAGGAAATATGAAACAATTATATGATACAACGAAGAAACTAGCAGGGAAACTTAGTAAACCAGAGAGACCGGTCAAGGACAAAGAAGGAAGGCCAATCACTGAAAGTCAAGAACAGAGGAACAGATGGGTAGAGTACTTCCAGGAACTCTTGAATAGGGCGGCTCCAATGAATCCACCGAACATCGAAGCAGCACACAGATCTTCCTATAGATGTCAATCCACCAATGACGGAAGAAATCAGAATGGCCGTCAGACAAATGAAGAGCGTGAAAGCAGCAGGACCCGACAATACATCAGCTGAAGCACTGAAGTCAGAGATCGAAGTAACTATAAACATGCTTCACCTTCTATTCAAGAAGATTTGGGAGGAAGAGCAAGTGCCTATAGACTGGGAAGAAGGACACCTCATCAAGATTTCAAAGAAAAGAGATCTGAGCAGATGTGAAAACTACAGAGGCATTACACTACTGTTAGCACCAGGGAAAGTCTTTAATAGTGTTGATGAACCGGATGAAAGACGCAGTAGACACCCAACTTCGAGATCAACAAGCTGGATTCCGTAAGGATCGGTTGTGCACAGACCAAATTGAGACACTACGGATCATCATCGAACAATCAGTTGAGTGGAACTCGTCACTGTACATCAAGTTCATTGATTATGAAAAGGCATTTGACAGTGTAGATAGGAGAACGTTATGGAAACTTCTTCGACACTGCGGAGTTCCTGAGAAGATTGTCAATATTATCCGGAACTCATACGACGGACTACAGTGGAAATTGGTTCATGGAGGACAGCTGACAGATGCATTCCAAGTAAGGACCGGAGTCAGACAAGGCTGTTTACTCTCTCCCTTCCTCTTTCTTCTGGTGATCGACTGGATTATGAAGACCTCGACATCTGAAGGGAAACACGGAATACAATGGACAGCTCAGAATCAGTCAGACGATTTGGACTTCGCAGATGACCTAGCCCTCCTATCGCGTACACACGAACAGATGCAGATGAAGACAGCCAGTGTAGCAGCAGTCTCTGCATCAGTACGCCTCAGTATACACAAAGGGAAAACCAAGGTCCTCAAATTCAAAGCGGAGAACAGCAATCCAATCACTCTTGATGGCGAAACTCTGGAAGATGTACAGTCCTTCACATACCTAGGAAGCATCGTCGATGGACAAGGAGGTTCAGATGCAGACGTAAAGGTGAGGCTTGGCAAAGCAAGGGTCGCATTCCTTCAATTGAAGAACATATGCAACTCAAAACAACTTTCAACCAATATCAAAGTGAGAATCTTCAATACGAACGTCAATGCAGTTCTACTGTATGGAGCTGAAACTTGGAGAACTACAACAACCACAATCAAGAGAATACAAGTATTTATAAATAGCTGTCTACGCAAGACACTCAACATCCATTGGCCGGATACCATCAGCAACAGCCTTCTGTGGGAGAGAACAAACCAGCTTCCAGCTGAAGAGGAAATTAGGAAAAGACAATGGAAATGGATAGGATATACATTACGCAAATCATCAAACTGCATCAAGAGGCAATCCCTAACTTGGAATCCTGAAGGGAAGCGGAAAAGAGGAAGGTCAAAGAACGCATTACGTCGGGAAATAGAAGCAGACATGAAAAGGATGAATTACAACTGGAAGGAGCTGGAAAGGATTGCCCAGGACAGAGTTGGATGGAGAACGCTGGTGCGAGGCTTATGCTCCTTCACGAGGAGTAAGAGGCGTAAGTAAGTAGAGATGCAGCCAATTCAAACAAAATAATGGGTTAAGACTTAAAAATCCCAAAATTGTACTCAAAACTCTAAGATTACATTACTTCATCCACTAATATTCCAGCTATACATAAGCCCAAACATCTACCTTATAATCTTTCTCGACTGCACCAGAAGCAACTTCTGCTTCGTGAAAGGATTTCCGATAGGATTGTGTAGAAACAACTGCTCCTAAACCCTTATTTAGTCCTAGTCAGTAAATGGATATTCTCAAGGCCGCATTATAAAGTGGCCTACACGAGCTCCCAATTTTGGGGAAAATTTGACCCATTTTGGTGAAGCCGCTATAGTAAAATTCGAGGAAATAGCACTAAAACCCCAAAATTTCCCCAGACCTGGGGAAATTCATCAGTATTTCCCCGAAATTCCCCTTTAACCTTGGTGAAGGTCGTTTGACTTTAGGAGTTTCCCCAAAATACTCCAGAATCTCACCAAACTTGGGAGTTCGGGTATAACGTAGCTGAAAGGTCGTCCATAAATTATAGTCTCACCCGAAATTTAGGACTTAGCCGAAATACCTCAGAATTTTGTCTTTACTTCGTCATGAAAATGGACATTCGTGAGAATATTCATTAACGCATAATATCCATACAGAAAGCTGGGAGAGAGCAAGAGAAAAAGTGAGCAGACGACTCATCAAGCACATGCACACTCATTTTTACCAATCGTGAGGTCAAGACAATATAATAATTATAAATAGAAGCTGATAAAATAACCTTCCAAACACGTTACAGATGCAGCCTCAAACACGCCGCTCCTTGCCAACGACCTTGGAGAGCAGATCCATGGTCAGGACAACACGACCATCCCAAACCATATTATCACGTGACGAGCTAGTACATAAGGACTGACCTCATTCAGATAATGAACTGATGAACGGTTTCAAGTGTCCAGTTGTTGTGTCAGATAAGGGTGAACAAAAGGCAGTCCAGACTGCCAAGAGACTGGAAGGGAACAATAATCAGTTCGGTTTATAAGGCGAGGAGCAGAGACTTAGTTAGTAACGATCGAACCATTAGCCTAATCAATGCAGTTGTCACACCAATGGAAAAGGTTGTTCGGGGAACAACACAATTTACGGAAAGGCCTACCATGCTTAACAAATCTCCTCATTGAAAGATATGATTGGGTTGGGGCAAAAGATAGAAGTATTCACGTAGATGTCAGTTTCACAGACCTAAGCAAAACCTTTGACAAGGCCCCTCATTCGGGTCTTAAATCAAATTTGGAAAGGTTTGGAATCCATTGTCAAACCATAGAGTGGATAAGTGACTTTCTCAACGATAGTAGACAGAGGGAAAGGGCAGATAGCGTGAGGACCTGTAAAATGCGGAGTTCCCCAAAGTACAATCCTTGGTGTCCTTCTTTTTTTACTTTATGCAAATGAATTATCAACTTTAGCAAAGTCATCTGTCCTACTCTTCTTCGGTGACATAATGATTTGGAGACCCATACACAGTATGTCAGGTAAAATAATATTACAGGATGATCTAATTTCAGTGACTTCATGGATGGGCGGGTGGTCATGGGCGGGTGGGAGCAAATTTTAACAAGAGTGTGGTGATGCGATTCAATAACTACGACGGTCCATATCACTACAAAAATACGTGGAGTTGTATAACCCAAAGTAATGGACTATAATGATCTAAGAGTCATAATAAGCAATGACCTAAAAACTATGAGCAACTGCAAGGCTGTCGCTGCCAAAGACTTTAGGGAATTACGGACCATTCGTGGGTCTTTTCAGTACTTTGACAAAGAAATGTTTAGATTATTTATACCCGACTGTCGTGAGACCACACTTGGAATATGAGATTCAAGCAGCGAGTCCTTGTTTCAAGTATGAGGCGAATATGCTAGAACGGGTCCAATGACGGTGGACAGAAATGGTGAAAGGTCTCATTGGCCCACCTTACGAAGACAAACTGAAACACC